ATATATATATATATATATAAAGAATAAATAGGATAATTTCTCATCTATTCCTTCAAATTAGTTAAAGTATTGTAACACACATTTATTCATGCCGTATATTTATCTTATTTAAAAATATATTTCTTTTGATTGGATAACGAAGAAAAATTGAATTTTTCATATCTCTTTTTTAAATATATACTTACATGTTCAATAAATTTTTCTACGGCGGAAATAAGAGCGTAACAGAAATTATATTTTGTAAATACCTGTTGTAGGGCAGAGAGAGGCAGAAAGAACACGATGATAAAAGGCACAAAAAATTATCCTGTACCGGTTAAAAATTATGCTTGTACCAATTACGCGTGGCGCACACTTCGCATGTGTATGTGAAAGTAATTTCATCTCGTAATTCCACCGGGCTTTAAATAGGCTTTACGTCGAACGGGAAGGGGCTGTTCTTGACTTCCCTTAAATTATAGACGGCCATTATCGCGCGGTCGGCCTCGCATTTGGGCCAGACAATGGCCGCCACCACTCGTTAATGTAATAGGCATCCAAAAGGTGCGATCTCTCTCTCTTTACTGGGAGGCACCGGCACTCACTCCGGTAGGAACCGCGCAGGACGAAAATCCTCCTCTTTCACGGTCAACCTGTCCATCGTTTCGTCAGACGGACCTGCCCGGGTTCCAGACAGCCCCCGAAAGAGGAATTATTATTTTATGAGATTATTATCTCTAATAACATCGCCCGGCTACGAGGAGAGAAAGGAGTACGCTTTTGTGTGTTCGATGGAAATGTTTCACACGTAGAAGTAGCTCGCTCAAGCTGCTCGATATTATCGATCTTTTGTCAAAAATCCAGGTAAAAATTCTAGAAGCCCTTTTACTTGATGTTCTGATGAAATGTGGAACATTCTGGCAAATGATAGCCGTAAATAAGAAAGCTCAATATAAAGTTTCTAATTCCATAGTTCCTAAAAGTTAAATGAAATATACCATTGTTTAATATGAGTAAAATACCGTTTAATTTTATATTTTATATTTTATACGCAATTGTAAGTTCTTTTTAAAGAAAATATACATTTATTGTGTAACTACAAAATATAAAACACAAGATTTTGTGTTAAACATTTACTGTATGAATTAAATTATTAATTTTACGATATTATTTATTATTTTTATTAAACAGTATATATAATTGTGACAATATTATACAAATATTAAGTGTCTTTACTCTCCCTGACTAAAATTAATTAATATAATCATTTTTATTGGAAACTCTTTTTTTTCTCTTATATTTATCTATAAAATTATTTACAACGTGCAAAATTATTTTACAGTTTCAAAAAACAATAGTTTAACGTAGAGCGATTCTCAAAAAAAGTGACGAATAATTTTTTAAAGCTTTTATGGTTTGAATATAAAAATGTTATCTGTCTATTCGGGACATATGGAAGTACATTGCGTTAGTTATTCGTCACGCATTTTGGAAACCGTGAACGATTCGAACAGCGTTGTCCGTGTTATCTTTTCATGCGTGCGCAAGGGATGAAACGACGCGGTTGCGCGATTGGTTGTAGGGCGGGAACATACGAGGGCTGCTGGAACTAGCAGGTGGATCTCCCAACAACACCCCTCTTTGTCCCTCAATTAGTTAAGTTTTTTTTTCTTTTCCCCTGAAAAATTTTTCCTGCCCGTCGCTAGCTGCCAGTTTTCGAGCGCCGCGCTTCGGATCCGTTTCTGCCGAGTCATAAGTTTATTCGGTGCAGTGAAATGTTGTGAATTTATTTTTTCTCACAATTCATGTACGCGTAATAAGGTGGCGATAAGCGATTAATCACGATGCTCCTAATTACTTTGTTGATAGTGTGATTGCAAGAAAAGCGAAGATATTGTAGATTAACAGTTGCATCAATGATCATGATATTTTAATACAACTAGAACGATAAATAGCTTTTTAGATAAGTGATTGATGAAACAGTTCTCTTGAAATCACGGGGAAGGAATTTTCTCTATGTGTCACGATTATTCTGTGCCATAACATTGCAAATGTCGTTGGATTCAAATGAAATTAATAATTATTTGATTTGTATCGCCAGCTGTAGTTTTTGTAGACATTAATATAAATATAAATTATATTATATAAAACAGAAACACATTGATCGTTTTTTCTTACAATTTTTAATTTCCGATACAAATATATAAAGATACGAACGATTTTTATCTTTGTAGATTGTAAATGCAGATGAATAAAATAGAGTTAAAATTTGCAAAAGTATTCCATAGCGATTACACTTCTGGGTGAAAATTATGGAATGTATATATGTAAAGAAATTTGTAGTACCTAATAGTTATCGATGTCGTGTCGGAACAAAGTTGCATAATAGGGTGGATAAGAAACCTATGTAACATCGCGCTATGCAATCAGACAACTAATTAAGTATTCTCGGTTGATCTCTGCTGTGAACCTTACGACTGCACGCGAACTTGTTTACGTTCGCTTATGTTTCATCACCTGCCGCTTCGAAGCACGCGTGGCCTCTCACGATGAATCATATATAATATCGGAAATACGCGTCTGTCTTTCGTCGACCGTCGGAAATTTTGCGAAACGATTTAACTAAGTTTTTCGAGCATCTCGACCGAATGTGTGCCTCTTTACAGGCGAATACATTCTCAGCTCCGGCAGTCAGAACGGTAGTGGCAGTAGCATCGTCGAAGAGGACGACCCGCTTCTCAACGAAGCATCGTTGGCTTTGGACAATCATCCCTTGGCAGACTTAACCGATGATTCGCTTGGTCTAAACGACACTCTAGGACTCGAGCATGAATTTACTTCAGAGTTACTCGGAGGTAGTCTCTTGGAAAGCGCCGGCGTAGAAGGCCTGCTCAGCAACGATACTCTGGGCTTGCCCGACGAATTTAATCTCGAGGAGGCGCTTCAGCTCGTTGGCCTCGATGAGGCTCAACCAGAGGTTTGTGGGATATCTTCGTATCTTCTACTTGGAAGTAACTACAGTTTGACGCTTTATGAAAAATGGATAATATGTTAATATTTCGTATGTCTTTTTCGATACCGAGCTCGCTGCTTTGCGATGGATTGTGAAATTTTATTTATTTCTACTTTATTTTTGCAAATATCTTTTGTAATGTCGTTTACTATGTGATTATTCGCGACATTTTTACTGTACAAACTTAAAGATAAAACCAGCAAGAATTATTTTGACATCGATTTTGGCAATACAACAGCCATTCTTCTCCAAACTCTTCTCTGTTTAAGTATTATATTATATATATATAATAATAATAATGTAATTTTTTATTAGCGTGCCTGACGTTATTCGAATCTCTGATAAACAAAAAGATATTTACGTATATGTAATGTGTTGGAATATTTTACATGATTAACGCGCTTCGCTCCTTGGCGACGCCATTGGCGATATTGTGATCATTATATAAAGATTGATTATTAGGAAACGAAGCCGGAAGTAAAGAAGAAGAAGAAGAAAGAAGATACCGCCGAGGACTCCGCGAGTGCAGAGGGCGACGCGGCCATTACCGCCTCGAGTAACGCCGAGGTCGAGAAGTCATCCAGGTGCGAGGATCCCGAGACCGGCGACATGATTCACACACCGCAGTTTCATCATCCCCATCATCCGCACCACCGCTCCTTCCAGGTAACGAACGACCCTGATTTCATTGCCTGTAGATTAGAACCAAGGCCAGTGCCTCTCATTACTGCGTATACAATGTCGACCATGATTGCAACAATATAATGATTTATGTACAGAGTACACACGGGCTTCTCCTATCGAACATATATGTCGTGTAAGTGAATCAATGAAAAATTATCTTGAGCTATCCGACGCGGTTTCTAATCGAGTGTCACGGATGTTGAATTATCGTCTCTGTAATAACAGTCTCCGATGGCGCTTAATACGTCTCAATAATCTTCGTGTAAACAAAATTGTCAGGGTTTTAATTTCATTTTAAGTCACTTTGCACTCGGAAGTTCTATGCTTTGATACGATCGCGCGTTTAAAAAAATTGCCCGGCCTGCGATAACACGTTTAACTAGAGCGATTCTCCTGGCGTCTTAATACCCTTCGAGATACGGTTTTGCAGCTGCAGTTTTGAGAGACGCTGAAAGAGCCGCGCGAACGGCATCGTCGCCGAGAATGGCCACGGCATTTGCGATTTTTCGACATTCCGTTAATGAGAGGTTCGGAATGATACCGCGATGATACCACGCGGTGCAGCGGGTGATATACGAAGTAGGAAACAAACGTCGTGAAGATAAGAACGGCGCGCAAAGCCGCACGGTTAGAGCGGCGTTTACGGTCCATAAACGGGACACTCTTTATTTACAGCGTCGACCGCGAAAATACTGCTGCGGCTCCATTCCCGCGGCATTCACACCCCCTTTCAGGGGGTCCCATAATTATACATCATAACATTTTAATGTAACGAGGCGATTGAAAATGGATCGTTTCTAGACTCGTGAAAACTTTAAATCATGAAAACTTTCTCATGATTATTATACAACTAAAATGATGTGATAGAAACAAGAATAAGCGAAATTCTAATTCGAGGAAAATATATTTAAGATCTTTTTTTACAAAAACACTTAGTGATAATTATAATATTTTTAACAGTTAATATACAAAAACTTTTAATATACATTTTTATTTCTGTAATTTATACGTTTTAAATCTACTACAGTATCTCAATTTACAATTTAACACGTGTTGCGCGTTCAGTTTCTATATACTTTTGTTAAAGATATTAAAATATCTTTTATATAATATTAAAATATCTGTATGCATTTTTTAAAGTTTCAGCGGAACTACATCTGTATGTACCGATTCTTACACATCTCATTATGTAGCAATCTAAACGCGGCAATCATATAAACGATCATTACAACTCGTTGTTTTAATAGGGAGTATCATGCTGTCATTTTGGACAGTTAGAACGTGCTGTTTGTAGCAATCGTTGTCGCGGATTTGCGCGATGCGTTTTTACAGCTCCGGCAAAAAGCCAGCTCGTTGATTATAATTATTACCTGTTAGATTACTTTATGCTTGTATAACTCGCGATATCACTCCGCGATCTTTCCGAAAGAATTCGTTTATGATTTATTACCAGCGACAATTTGTTCAACGTAATGTACTGCGATAGTACTCAACGATTTATTTCTTTAGAATTTTCAGAAATTCTTCGCTTAGTGACAATTAACAATGATAATTATCTTTAACAAAGGAATCCACTTGCTATAATTAATGCTTTTTATTTTTTTTTATCACGATATTTTGTCACGATATTTTGGACATCATATCTGCTTTTTAAAAAGTTAAAACAGAATCTTTAAAATTTTTCTTTACTTTTCCAAAATTTACTCATTGCTCCTAGAATTGTGAAGAGATCTATTATCATTTTTGGCACTTTATTTTTAAGAGATATTGCTTACGTGCCGCATGTTTAAGACTCTTCCCTCATTATCACTTTATAGCATTATAGAATTTTATTAGCAAAACAAGTTTTAGACACGAATAGTTTTAGACTCGTCTCTATTAGAGAAAGCCATACATATATGCTTAATGCTTATAACCGCTTATATTTGCGACGTGTATTTTATAAAACATAAATTAAATTTTATCACAGACAGTAGCTGGGTAATAATATGAATAACGATTCAGTTATAGCCGTATATATACCATATTACGTGATATAATAATCGTCTTTCTTCTCAATAACCCAGAAATGTAAACGCAGGGAGATATGCAAAGAAGCTAATGATAAAAACTTAATTATTTCTGATTTATCTATAGAAAGAATACAATTATTTTAATACACGCATTCAAGTGTTTAAATACTGCGTTTATAACACAGTTTACCATCGTGTAAATACGGGTAAAATCTAAACGTTCTAATTTAGATTTTGTATTAATACATTTACACGAATTCTAATAGAAAACAAATTGAGCGCACGTTGGACTCCTGAAATCTCATGCATGAGTAGGTTAATAAAATACACGCAAGATGTAACTATTCGAGACGAAGTGACACCGTGGATTCAAAAGCATCCCGAAGAAACCCCCTAGAAAGTTGACGTTTCCCCGGACTTGAATTCCGACGGTGTTGTCGGGGCACGTCATACAATGCGTCCCGTCGAGAAATCACATTCGTTGTAGGAGAGGACGATCGTGACAATGACCTACCCGGATAGTCCGCGGCGAGTCCGTCCAGCAGCAAGACGTGACGCAACGCGTACGTGTGCAAGACTTCTTCGCGTGCACGTGGAGGAACACGTCTGAAAACCCCCCCGCCAATGAGAGAGGTGGCACGGGCCCCTACTACCACGAACCGCGGTGGACGCGATCGCGATGTTTGTGATCCTGGACGTCGGCGCTGACACTCGCGGACGACACGCGGCTGGAAGTGAACGCTAAATCTCGCGGAAAAGTCAGCTCCGACCGGATCCGACCCGGAGGAGAGGCGGTCTCGCTGGCGAACATCCGCTCCGCAGATGGGCGCGATAAACGGTTCCGGAAGGTTTCTTTATAGTCGAGCGCGATTCTGCTGATAGTGCGACGTACGAACGGTTTCTTCGCAGAAAAAGAAGAAGAAGAGAAAGAAGAAGTTAAGATCTCTAGACGTTGCAGGAGACCACGCCTTTGAGAGGATATCAACAAGTTTCCCGCCCCAGACACATCACCGGCAAGCCACTTGGTATTGTCAATGAAAAACTGGTTGCAAAATGAGGACGTTGGACTTCCGCGACCGCTCCGTTCCGGCCTTGTACGTTTGACGAGCCGGTGGCTCTACTACGAAGTCGATAATTTGCATAAAGTTTCGTACGCCTGCGGTCTCTAATCTCAAGGATCTCGGTGTTACGTGAACAGTAAATTCTACGATGCGTAATACGCTATCGAGACGGAGATTAAACTACGTGAGATACAAGTGTGCGAGTGATAAAGCCACCTAGTACAATGACTATCTCTATGAAGCGCATCACGTTCATTTGTACGAGGCTCGAAGCGATTTGAACGAGGCCAAGAAACCCTTCTCACGTCCACTCCGCGAGACCGCCCACGTTGAATATACAAATCTCCACGTTGTACCTTTCAAAATGATATTTCGTACATCGCCAATGGACTGAGATATCCGTTCGAATGCAGGAATAATATTCTGGAGTAACGCGATATAATGCACTAACAAAAACCGTACCTGATTAAAATTAACTCGAATTCCCATGCCGACGGATGGATGTGCAATTTCGTGCCGCAGGGTGGAAACTCCTCGTAAAAAAGAAAGTTGTTCCTTGAATAGTATTTGATTAATTTGACGTCAGTACCCGGTGCGTAAATCTCGTGCCCAATTGTATTTCGAGTGAAAAGGGTACACACATGAACGACGTGCAGCAAGCCTTCGTCAAACCTCATCCGCAGACGAACGAGCACACGTGCCAAGGAAATACAGAATGTTGGAGTCTGATATTGGACGAAGGTCTTCTTCAGGTAGATTACACTAATTACGCAATCCACTTATTATGATAACCAAATAAAAATTCATGATGCGATAACAGATACGATAACCCCGTCGCTCGCACGTGGAATCAGCAAAGAAGGAGGTAAAGATCGGCGCAAGGTCTTGAGGGCAAGGTTCCGCGGATAAAAAAAAAAGACGTATATCGCGGAGTTAATAACTGAGAATACTTAGCGATGGACTGTGTTCACTGCGATTAATTCTAGAAACGTAACCTGTTTTTCTTTACGAGAAAAACTACACACATATAACTTTCGTATTCATTGGACTCTGCTAACGCGCGAAATTACTTCGAGGAACAAAATGTTAACAAAACGTGCTTAAATATACAATAACCGTCTTGCGTGAGAATATTCAGTTACGTACAATAACTAAAGGATTAAAAAGGATTAAAATAGTAATTTAAAATTTACGGCACTTGTTTCGCCGTAAACGAATCTCAATCGCGTTATTGGGGCGCATAATCGCACAATTTTACTCATGTTAAAGGAATCACTCATGTTAAAGAGCAAATTAGTCCGACATCTCGCTATAAAATTCGTTTCCATATCGTACGCGCGCGCGCGCGCATATACATACCTACACACACACGTGCGGTTATGCGACCTTGCGTCCCGCATGTAGAACTGTCATTACACGCAACCGCCGTCGGAGAAGCATTACATACTCCGCGCGCCGCGCCGCGTCCGCGCGGGTCTTTCAATACGTAATGAGTACACTAAATTAATATATTCCTACGCCCGGGACCTTTGCCTACGGAGGAGGATGTGTCGTGCGTATTATATGGAAGGCTTACGCAAGAAAAACGCGCCGTCGCCGCTCGCGAGCTATATCATTTTTGGAGCTCCTCTCTCACGCGACCGTCGTATTAACACTGACCTCAGTCACCTGTAATTGCTACATGTTAGCGTATACACCGAGATACAAACGACGGACACGTAATGCGACCCATTACAGTCGGGTGGCACACGTTCCGGCGTTATCGTCGGATTCTCTCTCTTTTTTTTTTATTTCCTTCGCGAAGAGGAAGGCGCTTCTGCGAGAGCGAGAGCCCCGGGTATGTGGTACCGCTTCAGCTCCGCGCGAACATTTTTTGCGCTATCTACTTCTATCACAGGTGGTTCATAGT